ATAAAAAATCTCTTTTTTTTTTCAAAAGAAAAATTTCCGAATCAGAGGTTTTTTTTGAAACATTATTTGTTTAAAAAAAAAAAAACAAGAAAGAAGGAAAAATAGAAATGGATGCTATATTTTTGCCGATCTCTTGACAAGTTTTTTTTTTTTTGAAATGATGAGAAAAGAAAAAAAAAATGTACTTACTTTTTAGTTGACAAGTAATTTTGTCACAAATTTACAATTAATGTTTGATTAGCTAAGATATTATTTTATAAATTATTAATTAAACAAAACATTTAATCTAAAAATTAATTGCACTATTTCTTTTTCCTTTAATTTGTTCTAAATACAACTCTGTCAATTTAAAAGTATTCAAAAAAAATAAATAAATAAATAATAATATAATTGTACTCATTTTTACGATGGGATAAAAAAAAAATTTAATTCAACAATTTGTCTCATTTAAATTAGTAAAAAGCAAAAAAAAAAAAAACTGGAATAATATAATTAATTAAAATAATACAAATTAATTAAAATATTTACAATTTAACTAAAGCATTGTTAATTTACAATTTATAATTACAAATTGTTTCAATTGAAAGAATGTTTTGAAATTTAATTCAAAAATAAATTGATGGGTTAAGGGATAGAATTATATACAGTTAAAAGTAGCCTAGTCTTATGTTAGCATAGAAATAATGTAATACATATTTATGGCTTAGGCCTAATAAAGTTTATTTCAAGCAAAAGCAAATGTTAGGATAAATATCAGAAGTAAGTATAAGGTTTGTATTATCCATTATGAACGAGAAATACCAGAATTGATACCTGATAAAATCAATAAATTTTAACATATGTTCGTATATTTACTTATTTATGCATAAAATTAATGAATATCATCAAAAGAATCAAAAAAATATCAAAAAAAGGAAAAAAAAACCGAAATGAAATAAAAGTTATAAAATCAATAAATCTAACTTTTATTTTGAAGAATTTTTTTTTTAAAGTGAAAATTTAACTTATTATTTTGTTAAAGTTAAATTATTTATAAAATATGAGGAAATAATTATTATTTATTGAATACATGTAATTATTTACCAATAATATTTCACACTTTGAAAAAAAAGAAAACGATAAATATGTAAAATTTAAATTTAAATTTTACTAATAAAAATTAATAAAGAAATTTTTAATACTGAAAATTCATTTTACCTGAGCAATCGGATTGTTAAATAGGCGCATTTCATCGGTATCAGGCTTTACCAAAAAATCACAACTGCGCCCATAACGTTTATCTAATTGACCAATTTCATTGCTGTAAAATATACAAAAATAAGAATAAGAATTATCAAAAAAAAAAGATGAATAAAATAAAGAAATAAATACTTTTTTTTTTTTAAACCATTTGTAAGAAAAAAAAATTTATGATTAATTATCAAAAACAAAAGAAACAAAGATAAAATGCTTTATATTAAATATTCAAAATTGTGTATAAAATTTAAAAAATAAAATTATCCATTAATTTTTTTTTAAGGGTTTTTTATTCTTATCTCTGCTAACTTATATACAATTTGTTTTCATTTTTTCACAATTAAATAAAGTACGATAATATTGAATTCACTTAATTGACTTTTTTTTTTGTTTTAGAAATTCAATAAAAGAGCCAAGGAATGAAATGTAATTCACATGAAAATTTTTGGACAATTCGATTTCTGGCTAATAAAATATTCACTTAGAAATGATACTTAAATACTTAGAATGATATTTTGATTTCGAACAATTCACTTTACTATAAAATATTATATAAGCACAAATAGAGGAGAAAAAAAATGATAGAAAATGAAAGTGAAATAAAAATAACAAAAGTGTTAAATGGAAAGCTTTTTTCGAAAAAAAAAGTGATATAGAAAAATTGAAAGTTTTCACATTTCAAAATAAATTTTTATTTTCCATTTGTTTTAATTAATCAAAAATAAATTAAAGCAACGAAATGAACCGCCAAATTTATCATTTAAATGCTAAATGTGAAATAGTTTGTTGTTTATTAATAGAAGTGTATTTATATTTATTAAGTTTTTAAATTATACTTTTTTAAAAATTGTTAAAATATCGTTGCTATTTGGAAGAAAAAGATTTTTATTTTTTCCTATTTTTTTTTCATTTTTTTTTATTTTTTTTTCTACTGCAAAATTTTTATCATTAAATTAAAAATTTTAAATATGCTTTTCAAAAATTGCCAAAATATCATTGCTATTTCAAGAAAAAAAAAGACAATAAAAGGAACAATTTTTTTGTTTTTTAAAAAATTTTATCAATAAATTAATTTTTTTTTCTAAAATATTTTACTGATGAATTAAAATTTATTAATTTTTGAATTTTGCTGAAAATAAATTTAAATGTAATGAAATTAACCATACATTGTGGTACTAATTTTGGTATAATTTCTAATTATTCCAAATGGCCTACGTGGTGCTATTTCGTGGTGATGAATTTGTTACCGTTGCACCTTTCTGTAGCGTTCGACCGTCCGGACCATATACTGGCATAGCTGATATCCCCCGTTGATAAAGCCTAGAATTTCTCTTTTCTTCCACGGTTTTTTTTTTTGAATTATGAGATTAAGAAATTGATTTTGGTATTTGTATAGGGTGTAATAAAATAAAATTTATTTCATTACGGTAAAATTATAAATACATATTTTGGTTAAAAAGATATACGATGATGGATGATACGGTAACTATTTACCAAAATGCTTTAAATTTTTACCAAATATGCGATGATAAATGATACGGTAGTTATTTACCAAAATGCTTTAAATTCTTTTCACCGTTTTTATTTTTAAATATATTTTTCATAAATTCTTTTTCACAGCGTGATAGGATGTATCCTATCATATCATTTAGTATTATATTATATCACATATTATATATCATATCACGTTATTTTTTTTTTTTTT